AAATATCCCTATTTTAACTGTAGAGAAACATGAAAAAGAAAAAAACATCTAATTAGATTATAATAACTAAAAGAAAAGCAAAGCAAACACTGCAAAATGAGCAATCTCCGTGCGAGACGAAGACACCGACGATGTCTTCGTATTGGAGAATTGGGATGAAGAAGGTAACTGGTGGAAGACGGAGGTTGCGCTCCTCCACTGTGAGCTCGGCTCCGACGACGAAGGTGACAAATCTGGGGATGCATCTAGGGTTTTTTTTCGTTGTCTACAAGGCTATTCTTCTATGGTTTGGTCGAAATGGATTGGTTTTTTTGATAAGATAAGAGATGGAGGTGGTGGAAATGGGACGAGACGATGTCGTTTTGAGGAAGGAGACGAGAGCTCGACAGGTGGCAGAAAAAACTGGCTCTTTTATGTAGTTAGGACACTTCGATCAAATCTTTTTTTTTTTTAATTTCCATACAATATCAAAAAAAAAATGTTCATGTATACTTAACATAATTCTTTATGTATATTTTTGTATAATGTGACGAGAACCTTTCTTTTTCTGAAATAAAAAAAATAATATCATATTACTTCAGTCTCAATATTGAAGTTATTGTTTTTCCAATGTTTTCCCTCACACAATTTACTTTATGTCTATGAAATGTCTATAAAACTAAACTTTTTTGCTGAAAAGTTGACATATTTGTTAACATATATTCACATGGGAATGCGGCTCTTGTGGGACATATGTAAATAAAAAGGTCAAAAAAAAATTCTCCCCCTTTCCTTTATTGTGAGTATGTTGTCCTGGAGGGTAAACCCTCCATTGCAACATAGTAGAATTGATGTCCATAATGGTTGTTGTGATGGCTAACGAATGTGTGTTGATAATTATCAATGATAATAAAGTGGATAATTATGTTGAATCATCCATAAATATTGATTTCAATTAGAATCACTTACTGTGATATTATCAATAATCACTAACAAAATTTCGTCTGTGATTATTTGATCTATTAATTTATTTTATTATTGTTCTCCAACTGACCTCCTTGATAGTTTTGTCAAATATTGTTGAATTGCGTGAACCTTCCTAACAAGACTACTCATTGTTTGTAATAGAAATCAAGTGCATTTAATGTTCATTATTTTTGACAATAGCTTCTATATAGTACTAGCATTTGCCCGTGCAATACACGGGCTAGGTTATTTTGAAGGTAAAGTAAGTGTGTTAAATATGTTGAATTTTCATAAATTACATCCTTAACTCAATAATTGCTATAACTACATTGAGATGAACTTTTCCTTATTGAGCATGCAAAGAGATTAAGTTATATGATTCCAGAATACAAGAAATCCTTTTACACGTGGACTCGCGACAATCAAGCTAGTAAAAAAGAGGGCAAATAATACAAGTATCCAACTTGTACATGTACTTCAAATACAAACTGATCCTTTCATATATATGTAAAGACAATAGCTCAAAAGGAAAACCTTCACCAATGATGCATGTCTTTATAAACCACATAAAAGGTACACGAAGTTTATGTAAAATAAAATTTTACACAATTCTCAGCCCTGGACAGGTGGAGCATATTGTGGATCACCATGTTCGGAAAAGTTATTAACAAACTGTGTCATTCTTGTCAGGCAAAATAAATCCTATAAATATTCGTTAAGCTCACATATTCCAAGTTAGTGAAACCTTGAGCAAGCTTAAAGCAATATCATACTTGTATATGTGGGGCATTTCCTTTTCTCTGGTGACAGTCTATACTCCGAAGGGGGTGGAGTTCAAATAATTTCAAAAGATTTGATGTTGATCAAATAGAATGACTTAGAC